GGATGTCTGCGGTTCTTCAGGAGATCCTTCTGAACTCCGCTTCCTTGGGTTAATAGGGCTTCTTTAGCCGCCTACACTTCCGCCTGCGATGTTATCGTCATCGCTCCTCTGAACTAGCACGACTTCCTTGCGAGCTTTCTCTGCTTTTTTAGCAGCCTTCCTATTGGCCGCTTTCTTAGCTTTGGCCGCTTCCCTCTCACATTTTTCAAGAACCTCCTGTTCGGCCTTCTTAGCCGCAAAATTTTCTGGATCTCGAACTTCAGGAGATCCAAGGACAGACTCCAGATTAGCCGACAGATCCTTAAAAATGACAGATTTCATCTTTTCTCGTCGTCGGGAGCGTCGTTCAAGCGCAGCTGAGAAATAAATTAAAAAAAAGTCAGATCAAATGGAAAGCCCCGAGTGTCAAAGCAGGTTTAGGAAAGTAAACGGACCTCTTGTCCTCGCAATCCTTTCTTCTGTGATCTCGGGCCAAGTGATCGCGCTAATCGCAGCAAATCGATTGGAGATATCGTCGATATCGAGAGGATCGTCAACGAATAGAAGAGGCCTGTTTCCTGTAGAATAAAAAAGATTTGATCAGAAACAAAAATAACAAGTTACGTTGTATTTCATATCGGTCATGTCTCTACCCATGACCTCCGCCCATTTCGTTCTGATCGGGATATCTCTATCTGCGTCGGCGATGGAAAATTCGTTGATTAGCACGAAAAAATACCGATCTCTCCAATCCGCCATCTTGGTTTTGTGACCGCCAGTCACGATGTTGTATCGAGTCTTCATACTCGTATAATACGAACCACGGTTCCTCAAATGAGCCTTCGTACAACGGGTGTTCGTCATAACATCGAAGGCTGCTCGACTCAATGGGATATCATGCCCGATCGATATCACAAGCATGCTAACAATCAAGCGTATCGTCCCATGGGTGAACTGGCTGATCGGTATTTCTTTGTGGGCGGCGAATTCCAGAAAAAGCCTCGGAAGCGGGAACCAGAGATGGAAGTCCATGAAAAAGCATTCGTGAAGACATAACCATCCCTTAGGAGCATCCCACGGTCGCTCCGGCGGGCTCGGAACCATGAAGACCACCTCAGGTCCGATGTCACACTCTTCCTTTAAGGTAACCAGCGACTCCAAGGTGGATTTGGTCGGCATCACTCCGAGAGCATTGTCGCAGATCGGCTTAATTACCGGCTCCCCTTTTCGCTTCTTAATTTTCTTCACCGGCGGATTCATATCGATGATGCCAAATTGATTGACTTCATCCTCAACGATGATGGCGTTGAGGTCGTCCGAGATATCCATCTCGTTCGACCCGCCTCTCACATCGTCTTCATCTCGCAATTCGGGAATCCCGAATTCAACCCTAGACGACGTTTCTCCAGATTTCTGGACAATTCCGATTTGATCGGCGTGGAACCGATCGGCCGCAGCTTGTTGGTTTTTCTCTCGAACGCGTTCCTGGAACGCACGATCCAACGCCGATAACTCGCTCGCATCCGAGGACCGATCCAACTCTGATTCCTCAACGACGACCCGTTTTCCTTTCGATCGGCTTTTATCGACCTGGTCGTCAGCTCTCTTCTGTGCCGATCTGATTTCCTCTGAGCCTGGTCGTTTTTCCCTGATTTGAATGCTTTTACCCATGCTTGATCGGCGGTCAGAACGAAACACGGCGGAGGTCTATTCGGCAGACCTAAAATTCTAAACAAAAGAAGAACAAGGGAGAGGGGAGAGAGCAAACCTGATTTTAACAGAGTTTCGCTAGAAATGCAGAAGTGAAGAAATTGAAGCCGAGTCCCCCTTATTTATAGAAATATCTGTACGGTTACCGAGAGTCATCATGAGCACGACGAATTTTCACATTTCTTCTTATTAATTTTAATCGGCCTCTTCGCCTTCACCTGCTAGGGTTTGACACGTGTCAACCTTAGTTCTGCATGCGCAAACCTAGGCCTAGCCTACATCATCTTTTAGGCGGGAATTTTTTGCACCTAGAATCACAATCTGGCCCTCATCACCGCGCCGATCAGAAGTCCAGGTAATAATTTCATTTTTATTCTAACTCTTTTTACAGCCGACCAGAATGCATATCAAGCAATACATCATGAAGTTCACCAAGTAACGTACCCTCACTTGCCAAACTGGGGGGGGGGACTTACTGTTAGAGATGAGATCCGTACCGTCTCTAACAAGCCCGATATGAATTCTGGTCGGCCCGTCTAACAAGTTTCAGGTCGGTGACATAAAAAGAAATCTTCCATTTATCAAGCGACCTGGGAAAAAAGGAAACTCCTTGCCGACAAGAGTTTCCTATTCCAAACAGGTTAAAGTCCGACCTGATCGGCTATAAATACAGGAAGTCCTTGACTCCTCAATCTATCCAAAAATCACTCCTCGAGACCTAAGGCAGATTAAGCAATCCAATCGTTCTTAGTTCTCGATTTTACTTTCCATAAAGGTTTAGGTCGGCATTTTTGTTCCGACGACCTAAACACCGTTGTATTCAATCAAGCTCCGGCTTCTTCTAATAAAAAGATCTCTTCTTAAACCCTCAAAACCTAGTTCTTCTATAAGTCGAACTTGAGTTTTTACAGATATGTTTGGTTAAGTTTTGCTAAAAATATTGAATTTTGATATATATAACTTAAATAATTTGGATATTTTGCTTATTTTAATATAAATATAAAGAATATATTTGATTCATAATTATAAATATGGTTTTGAGAAATTTGGTTATATTATATCTAAATATAACTAATATTTATATATATCATTATATCTTGGATATTTTGGGTACCTGTTCGGTTTTCGGTTTGGTTCGGGTACAGTACCGGTTCTTCGGATATAGAGGTAAAGACTCCATTCGGATATTTACATCATTTCGGTTCGGTTAGATACCATAAAATTTGGGTCAGGTTCGGGTGAATTTTTCGGATCTGCTTTTTATGCCCAGGTTTAATGATTAAAAAAAATGAAGATTCAACCAAAAACGTATTTAAACTTATATATACTTAATTTTAGCAATTTTTAGAGGCATACTTTCTTTTTTAATCAGACTTTTTGATTTTACACTTTGTAAGTTTTGGAGAGACTAATCTAACTCTACGTCTTTTTAGGAAATGTTTTGCCCCTTTTGGATTTCTATATAGTCATAAGGTTTTTTTAATATCAATGCTTGTTTTCTGCTTCTATATCTCAGTATATTCATCCTTTGGATTTAGAGTTCTCAAGAAATTTATGAATCATTGAATTAGATATACACATGGATTTCGCTTAGGTGTCTACACTTATCATTATGTTCAATGCTTAGGCTATATTGATCATAGAGCCTCTAATTTAGGGTTTTTAGCGCTTTAAATAAATTTATTGAAATCCTAAAAAACATTGAACGAAAACTGATATAAAGAAAATTTGTGAGCATATTAAACTCGAACTTAATACATGTTTAGAATTCTAAATTCAAACGACAGTTTATAATTTTAGATTGTTATAAATAGTAGTTAATTTCACAGTAATGGATTGGTTATACATATGTTTTTGAGTTCTAAAATGATTCTTAATCTGTTCCATGAATAATTATTTGGTTTGTGATTTCTGAATTTCTAGGAATTGTTTTTGATCTAACGTTTGTTTTATTGTTTTTTCATTGTTATTTTGCTTCTTTGTTACTTAATTGCAAACAAGAACTATGGGCTTGAGTTGTTATTGCTATAGATGCTGTCCACACTAATATTTATGTTTACAGCTCTAAATTATACCAATCATCCTTCATAAAATTTATCTTTCTTTTATTTATTTATAGCCAAATATTTTCTTTTTATTTTGCTGTATAAAGCATTTTTTTCTTAAGCACATAATTTATATATTCCAAATTTTACAATTTACAGCCAAATTAATAAAGAAATAAAATCTAGCATGATTGATAATAGCTGTAGCTTTATGTTTTGCTGTAGAATGACTGTAATTTTTTTGATGTAGTTGTAGATTTTATTTCTATAAAATTTTGGCTGTAGAATTGTAAAATTTGGAAAGCATAAAATTATGTGTTTTAGAAAAAAAAATGTTTTGTATAGTAAAATAAAAAATATATATATATTTTGGCTGTGAAAAAATAAAGGAAAGATAAAGTTTATAAAATATGATTAGCATGATTTAGAACTGTAAACATAAATATTTATGTGCACAACATCTACACAGCTACAGCAAAAAAAAATATATGTACAGCCATATTTTAACAGTAAAAACGTAAATTTAGAGTTATCATATGCTATATTATTGTCTTAGCTCTATTGTATTATGGAAGAATTGAAATGTGACATTTAGTGGTTGTGGATTTGATCCATTTTATACTACTGTAATTTGATGTGCACTTGTAATAACTTATATGTTTATGAAATATATCAAATAGGAAAAGTAACAAATGAATGGTTATAATGTTCATCAAATTGGCTAAATATATCGAATACAGAAAAGTTATGATGCAAAACATAATTATGGATTAGTGAGAGTGAGAGTGATAAATGATGGAGTTCGAGTTCAAGAGTTGCGAGTATCGAGATGTGTCGATCGAATCACTCATGAGTTCAAAGATCAGTGATGACCGGGAGAGATATACCGAATTGTGAAAGAAAAAAAGTGATAACCGAGATGTGTCGATTTACATGGAATTGAGTTTCATGTGCTAGTAAAGACATAAAAGTATCCAATCGTTTGCTAGTACTACAATATAAAAGTGATTAATTGTAGAATTTGAAATCAATAATTTTGTTTTACAATCATGCTCATGGACAAGGTCACGTAGGAATAATATAAAATTCGAAAATACCCTTTATATTTACTTGAAATCCTCATTTCGACCAGCATTCGTCTCTCGCTGCAAGCATTAACAGCTGTTTAACACATCTTAATTAGTTATTTGATTTTGACCCCCAAAAAAATTTAGTTATTTGATAAAGAATAATTTCGAAAAATGAAAGCTAATAGTACGATTAAGGAAACAAAAGATCTCTTCTCATCTCTCCCACCCCATTTGTTGACCATTTAAGAGGATTTTGAAGAAAACCTCAATCGCAAAAACCCATAACTACACACAACACTCCCTCATAAAAACTTCCGGATTTAATAATCAGAGACAAATAAAAAATCAGATCCCATTTGTTCTTGGGAAAAAGTACTAAATATTGTTATCATTAAAAAAAAAAACTGGACTTTTCGTGTTTTGTGACGATATTTCAGAGTTTTGCGTTTATGGTAAATAACAAATTAGAGAAGAGGTAACATTTGAAAATCTTATCACTGATTCTGATTTCAACCAATAAGGTAAAGTTTTCTTTGGGATTTATTTCCCAATATCTCAATCTAATTAATTTCTCAACAAAAAAACTTCACTCAAAATCCAAAATTGAATGTTTCATTTTCATAATCTCTGGCTTCGTCTTCTTAAATCCGAGAAACATTTCACTCAGCTCCTTTTTCTCCGTCTCCATTTATCCAGATTCCGGCGACTGAGAGAATAGAGATTTAATAATGATGTACGGAGAATCTTCTCATAGACCTCCGAGAATCAGCCACGTATCCAATTCCACCGGAGATATCGGCAGTGATTTCGGAAGCAGCTCCGATTTCGCCAATTTCGCCAATTACACCGTCACTGTCCCTCCGACCCCCGACAACAATCCGGCTACTGTTCAAATCGTTCTCCGAGACGAATCCGGTTCATCTTGCAAAGACGACGAATCAGATCAAACCGATCTGAGAATCGGTGAAGAAGACGATGCCTTGCTCGACAAGATATCTCAACCTTTAACCCGTATCGTCAAAATCTCTCCGATCATCATGGCTCTGTATCGGTATATTTCTCCTTCTCTCGCTCGCTCTCTGAGATATTTCACAGCCGTGTCGGTTACAAACACTTGTTATGTGATGTTATGTGAGATAAAGACAATGTTTTTTTGTTAAAGTGAGATAAAGACATAAAGCATGATCTTTTAAGGATGTTTTCTTGAGATTTTTCTGACAAATGTTTTTTTTTTTTCAATTTAATTTTCAGGGTTCTAATATTTGTTCGAATCGCATCTCTGTGTCTGTTTCTCTTATGGAGAGTAAGGAACCCAAACAATAAAGCAATCTGGTTATGGTTTCTCTCCGTAATCTGCGAAATCTGGTTCGCTTTCTCTTGGTTAATCGACCAAATCCCAAGGCTGTTTCCGGTTAACCACGGAACCGATATCGAAGCCTTAGAAGCAAAATTCGAATTGCCAAACCCGAATAACCCAACCGGTAAATCAGATCTTCCTGGAATCGATGTCTTTGTTTCAACCGCTGATGCAGAGAAAGAGCCACCATTGGTCACAGCCAACACAATCCTTTCGATCTTATCCGTTGATTATCCTATTGAGAAGCTCTCTTGCTACATCTCCGACGATGGAGGATCGCTTCTAACGTTTGAAGCAATGGCTGAAGCGGCTAGCTTCGCCAAGATATGGGTACCGTTTTGCAAGAAACACAAGATCGAGCCTAGGAACCCGGAGAGCTACTTTGGTTTGAAGAAAGATCCTTACAAGAACAAAGTGAGACATGATTTCGTTAGGGAGAGACGGTATGTGAAACGAGGCTACGAGGAGTTCAAGGTTCGTGTCAACTCCCTGTCTCATTCGATTAGACGGAGATCGGATGCGTTTAACAGCAAAGACGAGATTAAAGCTTTAGAGAAATGGAAAAACTGGAAGTTGAATGACCAAGACGAAGAATCAAGACCTTCTATAGTAGCTCCTAAAGCTACTTGGATGAGTGATGGAACACAATGGCCCGGTACTTGGTCCGTCCCTTGTACGAATCATTCAAAAGGCGATCACGCTAGTATTATACAGGTAAAAGTCTAAATACGTTTGTTGATCTCTCTCTCTCTATTTGGTTTGGTATATAACGCTTGCATTTGAATAAAGAGAATGTTTTTATATTATTTTTGTAGGTGTTGCTTGATCCTCCTCGTGATGAACCGGTTAAAGGGAGAGGCGGTGCAGGGTACGCGCTGGATTTCGAAGAAGTAGACATTCGTTTACCGATGCTTGTTTACGTGAGCCGAGAGAAACGGCCTGGTTATGAGCATAACAAGAAAGCAGGAGCTATGAACGCTTTGGTGAGAGCATCGGCTATAATGTCTAATGGACCGTTCATCTTGAACTTGGACTGTGACCACTACGTCTACAACTCTAGGTCCTTTAGACATGGGATCTGTTTCATGATGGACCGTGATGGTGACCGAGTTTGCTATGTTCAGTTTCCGCAGAGGTTCGAAGGAATCGATCCTTCTGATCGCTACGCTAACAACAACACCGTTTTCTTCGACATTAATCTGAGGGCTCTCGATGGGATCCAAGGCCCGATGTATGTTGGGACGGGATGTCTTTTCCGTCGAACCGCGCTTTACGGTTTCGACCCGCCTGACGTTTTTGTGGACGTTGATCGGTCTGGTTGCTGCGGCTGCTGTTTCCCGCGGAAGCGGAAATGCAACTCTGCAACCGTAGCTACTGAACCGGAGTACTACATCGACGTTGAGGATGACGACGATACGGCCGGTTTGATTCCGAAGCTATTCGGTAGCTCTAGTATGCTAGTGAAGTCGGTAAAGCTCGCAGCATACCAAGGTAGGCCGTTATCCACGGTTCAGTCTAGTGGACCGGGACGCCCGGTTCGCCCTCCCGGATCCTTGACCGGAGGCCGAGAACCGCTCGATTACGCTACCGTAAGCGAGGCGGTCAACGTGGTCTCGTGCTGGTACGAGGACAAGACGGAGTGGGGAAACAGCGTTGGATGGGTCTACGGATCCGTAACCGAAGACGTGGTCACCGGTTATCGAATGCACGAGAAAGGGTGGAGATCTTTCTACTGCGTAACGGAGCCCGACGCATTCCGAGGAACCGCACCCATCAATCTAACCGATCGGCTCCACCAGGTTCTCCGTTGGGCCACTGGATCAGTCGAGATCTTCTTCTCCCGTAACAACGCCGCTTTAGCCGGTCGAAAACTGAAACTCCTCCAGAGAATCGCTTACCTAAACGTCGGAATCTACCCGTTCACCAGCATTTTCATCTTAACATACTGTTTCCTCCCGCCGTTATCTCTCTTCACCGGCCAGTTCGTCGTCGACAGCCTCAAACCAGCGTTTCTAGTTTACCTTCTGACGATCTCTTTGTCTCTCTGTGGGTTAGCCGTTCTTGAAGTCAAATGGTCAGGAATCTCTTTAGAGGAATGGTGGAGAAACGAGCAGTTCTGGTTAATCGGCGGCACGAGCGCTCATTTAGTAGCTGTCCTTCAAGGTCTTCTCAAGGTTATCGCCGGAGTCGAAATCTCCTTCACGTTGACTTCGAAATCCTCGGGAGATGAGGAAGACGACGATTTCGCTGATCTCTACCTGTTTAAATGGACGTCTCTGATGATTCCTCCGTTGACGATCATAATCTTGAACATCGTGGCGATTCTTTTCGCGTTTTGTCGGACGGTTTTCAGTGATAATCCGCAGTGGAGCAATCTCGTTGGTGGTACGTTCTTCGCCGTTTGGGTTTTGGTTCATATGTATCCGTTTGCGAAAGGATTGATGGGAAGAACAGGGAAAACTCCGACGGTTGTTTACGTTTGGTCGGGACTTATCGCTATTTGCTTATCTCTTCTCTACGTTACCATTAAGAACTCGGAGATTGCTGGAGGTTCGTTTCAGTTCACTTAGAAGGTTTCAGAAGAATGTAAATACATTTTTATATTCTTTAGTGTTGTGAGGAGAAACAGAGTGGTTGGTTATTTAAGAAAACAGAGCATACAATTTTTTTTTGTTATAAGTGTTTCCATTGTTGTTTTCTGACTTTAAGTTTATTATTTTAGCTCTTATGGGTTTTGATTTTGTGATAACTTTGTTGCTTTATCGTTTCTGCATCTAATGGGTTTGGTTTCTTAGATGTTAATCTTCTTCATATTCTAATGTTACTGCGTTCTTGAATGTTGTCATTTCAGAAAAATGTTTCATACTTTCATGGTTATTAAAAATGTCACTTTTTGCATTTCAAACTTAATTTTTCATGAGTCTTGGTTTTTTTTTTAATGGAATTGTTAATTAACTTAATTTGTATAAAGAAGAAGAGATTAGCAGCTTTTAGAAATCTTTACTCTTTTATTGTTTTCTCTTTTACTCACAAACGAATTTTTAAAAAGTTAAAAAAAAAAAACCGCAACAAAGCTTATAAAAGTCTTCTTTCGTCAGGATCACTCTCAATCTCAATCTCAGGCCGTTGTTGCCGGCGATTCTTCCGCCGTCCACGCGCCTCCGTACCACCGAATTTCAACCTCCCCGTATCCCTAAACCTATCCTTTTCCGCAGGAACAATCACGCACTCCGGCGGCGGCTCTGGATACCTAACCGTGTCGTAACAGTAAGAATAGTACATAAACCGTTGCCGGAATCTTCTCATGGCGGCGCGTTGACGTGAATTAATGAAGAAGTAGTCTTGAGATTCGAGGAAATCGACGGAATCGGAGCAATCCGTGAGGACTTCTTGGATCGGATCGACGGAGCAACCGTCGAGAGAGAAGGATTTAAATTCGGCGACGAAAGGGGCATATTTGTAATTAGCTTTGTATTTTCCGCCGGAAGTAGCCCAATCGGAGGCGTCCCAGATGGTGGCGTATAGAGCCATTGGCTTCGCCGGATAATCAGCTCCCATTGCGTCGCTTCTTATCACTTCTCTAATTGGCACATCGTCTACCCAAAATCTGATCATTGTATAAAAAAATTCGATTAGTTAATTAATCACCAATAAAAACAATAAAAACTTTATTAATTGCCATGAGAAAATTATTATAAACAATCCAGATTAAAAAAGAATAAAAGATTGTTGACAAAAAAAAAGAATAAATGATTGTTGTAGCTATGAAACTCAAATGATCAAATTTAAGTTTTTTAATTAAATTTTGTGATTAATCTTTCTCCTTCCCTTAACTTCAAAACAATAAAGTCAATAGAAACAATAAAAGTCAGATTTTTGAACAATTAATTCTGCTTTATAATTAATACGCTACGCGTAACAATTGAGAGATTATTATTACTACGAGTCTGACTGGTATGTCAGATGAATAACAGAATAACGGAATAACTGAAAAATTACTAATGGAATGAACTGAACTGAATAATATTTTAGCTGAATAATCGTGAAACGCTGAAAAACTACTTTTAGTAGATTAATCACGTTTTGTTCTTTTTAGTTATATTTTTAACACGCTAGCGGAATCACGTTTCAAAAACATAAAAAAACGTGAAAACATGATAAATAACATGAATGGTAAAAAATAACAGAATTAAATTTCTAAAACGTGAAAACGTGAAAAAACTGCATACCATTCAAACTCTAGGCGTCAAAAAATTATTTTGTTTCAAGTAGTGCCCAATTAATTGTTTTGAAAAAGCTGACTAATATTTCGATTTTATTATTTTAAATTTAAACTAAAAAAAAGAGAAAAGGTAAATCAGAAAAATAAGAAAACTGGAGTATCGATTTTTTAGAAAAAAGGGAGAGAGAAGAATACTACAGATTCATTAACTATCTTAGGAAGAAAGAAACGTTTTCAGCAAGACAAATATTCTTTCATCAAAATGGTTAGATATTTTATGAACCGGAATTGGTCAACGCTATTGTAGCTAAACCGGGGGACAAATAAATAAATAAATAAATCGATCAAGAAGAGAGAAGCTTACATGGTCTTGCGAGGAGTCCAGAGGATGCTGTAACGATGAAACTCTTTAGAAGGATCGAACCAGAGACGATATCTCTCTTCACGACCTCTATGTGTACTCCCGTTTCCGTACAGATTTGTCTGAAACCTCCATGGCTTTCCTTTTATGTTCCCTAGAAACTCTATGTCTAATTCGTCGTGTGTTTTCTCGAACACGTCTCCGTTTGATGTCTACATATCAAAAACAAAAAATTGATTTTAATTTCCAAAGAAAATTTAAAAAAAAAAAAGTTAGATCCAAAGTCTTAATTAAAGATGGGTTTTTGTTTTTCTTTCTTTCTCGGGAATAATGGAAAAAATTTATGAGTATTTTCTAGGCAACCAAACTGAGAAAATTGTCTCATGGCTTCCTTGACAAAACGTTTGTTATTCCATTTTTATCGTTCAAAAAAAGGAGAGATTACATATTAGATCAATTAAGTTAAATCATGATTACTTTAGTCAAAACAAAAAAAAAAAGTTAAATCATGATAACTATGCAGATGGATAAAAAGGAAAATAAACAAATTTCGGTAATAAAAAAGAAAAGAAAACAAATACAGAAATAAATGGCCGGAGACTTACATAGAAGGCGACGACGACGCCGGCAGTATAATCGGCGGGAAGCTTGATCATGGAGCTGTAAAACCCATGTTGATACATATTTGATGATATGAAACCCGAACCTATAATCATCATCACAAATTATGATCATGGTCGTTAAAAAGAAAAGAGAACACATGTGATAGATCCTTTCGCAAAAAAAAAAAACACATGTGATAGATTATATGTAAAGGTGTATATACCGGTATATCGATCGAGGAGGAGGCGAACGGAGAGATCGTCAGGTGAACGGACGAGATTAGCATCGCCGAAGAGAGGGGAAAGTGATTCTTCGAAGCTTAAGGTGTTGAGATTCGTGAAGGCAGATGATCTCAAACCCAAACCCAAGAAGACGATGATGAAGAAGAAGATGGGATTATACGATGATTTAGACATTTTTTCTCTAATGTTCTTGTTCTTTCTGGGATGAAAAAGAGATTTATGTATGATTTTCTGTTTATTAATTACATGTATCTTTTGACATTAGAGAGGGTTTTTTCTTTTTCTTTTGGTGAGAGAAAATTGCTCTTTGGCTTCCACGCTCGTGGTCTTTATATAACGGAGAGTTTATTCAATACTAGTCTTTTTGATTTTTCTTCTTCACTATTTTCCGAATTTACCCTTCTTTTTTTTTGGTATGCCACAGTTTTGCCGCTGTTTATTTGTATGATGTATTAATTAAGTACCATTATAGATGTTTAAGAAAGGATGATCGATCAAGAAACACCAAATCGATTTGATCAAATTGGAACAAAAATAATGATCCAAGGACTTATTTATAAATTTACGTAAAAATAACATTGAATCGAAAGTCTGATATAATTAATTAAAATTGTTGGAATATTTTATTTCTCAAAATAAAAATAAACAGCTATAATCCAAATCGAACAAAAATATGTTTTTTCTAAAACTGAATAGTTGATGGTGAGAAAAAGATATGAAAAAAATCAGCATTGATCAACAATGGAAATCGAATCAAATAGTATATCGGAATGGATTAATCGCAAATGATCAACTGCAACTTATCGAATGGGCATGGCAAGATTCTGAAACTAAAAACCTCCCTAAGTGGATGTGCATAATAATGATCAAATTAAATGACTTATGTATGGATTACTGTTTCTAGACATGGTTGAGATTCGATTTCCATCATTCCATGACATACAATTTTCTTGCAAGTCATGGGAGTAAAATTTTGGAAGTTCTTATAAGATGTGTGTTAAACCATTTGTTATGACCATTTATGTTACAAGTTTGATTGTGTATTTGCGATACTTATTTTTTTTTTTTCATTGTATGTATAAATCTTTATGTACAAAGCGCTAAGATTTAGTTTATATATACAAGCGATCCTAAGACACAGATTTATATATTTTAGAAAAATTGAAATCGTGTTTAGTAGATTAGTCGTATTGGCATTTGGCCAAATATATATAGGTCTCTCTTTTTCCTTCTTAAATTTAGTATAAACCAGAGATTATAAATGGCTTTCTTTCTTTTTAGCTGTGCATATCCCAATTAGAGTAAAATTAGCATGTGACGAAAAATAGAGAGTAATATAGTTGGTATACGTCACTAGGTATGGTTACGTGAATATAAAGGGTAGATTTGTCATTTTCAGTGATGAAAGCCAAAATGAATAAAAACGACAACTAAGCATGAAATGGACACCAAAGGGTCTTCATCTGTAAGCCCATGCAGATTGTATATAATCACCAGTTCACCCTCATTTTAATATAATTGTATATATAAATACATATTTTACATGTAGGTGTTGATATTAGGTGGTTACACTAATCAACACATTAAATTAATGAAAAGGTACTTGACAAAAAAAAATTAATAAAAAGGTATAGATTCCAAAACTATGGACAGCAAAACGTAAACATTTTTCATACTCTTTTGTTCTTTAATTAGTTCAATGTCCTCTTTATATATATATATATATATATATCTTTTGTTCACTTCCTCTTTACATATGTAATCACAATATTTTTTATTACACTGCTTATGAAATCGAGAGCAGATTGGGTAGTGTCATGAACATATAATAAGATAGACAATGTTAGAAGACATCAGTTTTTTGAACTTTAGCTTATGTTAGAAGACATAAGTTCCGTAAATTTTAGTATAAATATAATATATCTAAGCATTTGATCAACTTTGGTTCGAAACAAAATTAGTACTCCAATTATCTAATCAAAATGAACTTACAATATTCAAATACTTTAGTTAGTAGTACCAGGTACCCGAATCTCGGTATCATACAATTAATTAATTGTTTTGTGATTTTTGTATACTCATTTTCGAATCAACACAATAATAACCTATAAATCTCTCCATAGCTTGTCACATTAGTATTTTGAAGCTTCTATGTATCATACTTTAGTTAATTGTTTTGTGATTTTTGTATACTCATTTTCGAATCAACAGAATAATAACCCATAAATCTCTCCATAGCTTGTCACATCAGTATTTTGAAGCTTCTATGAGATGACACTTTAGCAAAAAAAAAAACACCAATAAAAATATTTTATTAATACAAGTCATCAATTTATTTTAACTTTTAAATTTAAATTTGATTGTTAATTTTAGTTTAATTTTTGGTCAAGCCCAAGCCCAAATAATAAATAACAG